ATAATGAGAGCATTGGTTTATAACCCACAGAATATAATTCCAATTAATAAATGCTGAAGGAATGGTATAAATAGAAAAGCATCATGAGGAAACACCACAGTAGTTTTTGTTGGAGGCATAAACCATTGTTGTTAAGTGCCATTGAGTTGGTTCGTGACTCTACATAGGGTTTCCAATGAGGAGCTAGTGAGCTTGAGCCACCAATCTTGAGTTTCAAACCAACCTTGCAGTCCAATGAATTAACCTACAGTGCCACACCAGGACTCCATTAATGGCTGCTAAAATTCATGGGCAAAGTATGCTGAGAAAGAGGATTTTTGCATAGTTTCAAAGTCTCTCCCTAACCCACTGAGAGTAATCCTATAGGATAGAGACAAACTGCTCCTAGGGTTCTGAAACTAATCCACTATAGGTGCAGACAGCCTCATTGTTTCCCCTTGGAACAGCTGGTGGGTTTGAACTGCATACCTTATGGAGAGCAGCCTACTGCTTAACTTACTGTATCAACATGGCTCCCTAAGGATCTCCATGGTAGTGGTGGTTCTGGCTCATAGCAACCATGGATAGGGTTTCCAGGGCTGTAAATCTTTACGGGAGCAGAAAGCCTCTTGTTTCACCCATAGAGCAGCTAGTCGATTTGAACTGCTGACCCTGTGGTTGGTTGCCCAGTGTGTAACCCACTATGCCATCAAAGCTTCTTACATATCTCCATTGTTGTTAAGAGTTGGTTTTGACTTACAGTGACCTGTAGTGTTTCCAAGGTTTTAAATCTTTTTTCTGGAGCAGAGAGCCTCATCTTTCTCCTACAGAGCAGCTGGTGGGTTTGACACCAGTCTTGGGGTATCTCTGTAGAAGGTGCTTATTAATTATTAAGGGAAAGATCTGCCTGGCAGATACCATCTTAGCCAAGTGACCAAAGTCAACATCATCCTGAATACATACAGACATCATGTGTCTTCTCAGCAGTCTTTCTGTAATACTCTCACTACAAATGCATAAACCTAACTGGTAACCCTAAATTGTGGACTATTCTACAGAATGATTGCACAGTACTCTTCAAGTCATAAAAGACAAAGGAAGACCAAGGGCCTGTCACATTGGAGGAAACTTAGGAAACAACTGAATACACTGAGATCCTATCTTAGATCCTGGACTAGACATTCATGGGGACATTAGGAAAATCTAATTAAGTTGTGCAGATTAGTTAGTGGCATTGCATCGCATTAATGTCTGATTTCAACAATTGTAGTCTGGTTATTTAAGATAATGGCGTTAGAGGAAGGAAGGTGGGTGAAGAATATACAGGAACACTCCGTACTGGTTTTGCAGCTTTCCTGGAAGTCTGAAAGTATCTCAAAATAAAAAGTGAAACAGAAAACAAAAACCCCCATTCAGTCAAAAGTGAAACAGAAAACAAAAACTCATCAGATTCACAAGGCTACATACTGTGTGATTCCATTTATCTGATATTCTTGCAACTGTAAAACTATAAGGATTACTGTAAAGCATGAACTGGCTGACTTAAAGCTTTGTGCTTAGTTTCAGAATGTGGGAGCTGTGTGGTGTGTGTGTGTGTGTGTGTGTGTGTGTGTGTGTGTAGAATCTCCACTGAATAATTTTCCTCTTTTCCAGATGGGTCTGGTGAAAGAGGCGGGGGGTGATGCTGATTGGATTGTATGATGCAATTATGAGTAATTGTTAGCAAAAATAGTTGTGATTGTCAAAAATGTAATTGCATAAGATATGTAACTCTTTTAGTTCATTTTCCATTTCAGGAATAAACGATCCCAAGACCATCATAAAGGAAAAGCATGAGATCCCTACGTAGAAAATCAGCAACAGCAGAGACGGTGGCAGAGGTGGTGGCATGGAGAGACAGAGCAGCTGCGAGCTCTAGGCCCAGGGACTGAGTAAGGCTGTGAGCCTGCGGGCAGTAGGCTCATTTGCAGAATGTGCCCACTGGACATTTAAATGAATATACATTTTTTTGTTTTGTAAAAAAACAAACAAACATAGGAACAGAAAACAAATCAGTGGTGCCAGAGGGGGCTGCGGGTAGAAAGACGGATTGATGACAAAGGGACAGCAGGGGACTTTCTTGGGTGATGAAATTGTCCTATATCTAGATTTTGTTGGCATTTACATGACGGTATATGTCTGTCAAATCTTGTGGAGCTAAATACTAAAAATGGTGACTTTTATTGCATTATACCTTGTTATTAAGTTGTTGTTATTATGTGCCGTGGAGTCAGTTCCGACTCATAGTGACCCTGTTCAGGGTTTCCGAGGCTGTAAATCTTTACAGGAACAGAAAGCCTCATCTTTCTCCTGCGGAACAGCTGGTAGTTTCGAACTGCTGACTTTGCAGTTCACAGCCCAATTCATAACCCCTACGCTGCCAGAGCTCCTTGTTGTTAAGTGCTGTCTAATTGGTTCTGACTCATAGTGACCATGTATAGGGTTTCCAAGGAGGATCTGGTGGGTTTGAACCACCAATCTTGAAGCCAGCAGTCCAGTACTTCCATTATAGCACCACAAGAGGAGTCCAAATTATATCTTGTTGTTGTTGTTAAGTGCCGTCGAGTCGGTTCCGACCCATAGCGACCCTGTACAGGGTTTCCGAGGGTGTAAATCCTTATCTTAGAAAATTTAAATGTCAAATATGCACACACTATGCACATTTTATAAACAATGCATACAACACAAAAGAACACATTAAACATAAGAGATGGCTGCCCATGAGTCAGGGAAGGGGAATTTGAGTGTGAAAGGAGGCGAGGTGAAGATGAATAAATACACAAAATAAGCAAGGGACTTGGCCATAGATAGAAGCCATACAGTGCCATGAATTGTGGACATGAATAATTCAGCCTTCTGCACCTCAGTTCAAAAAAAGAAAAAAGAAAAGGTCTATGAGGCTTTGTTTTCTTGCAAAAGATTCTAAAAGAACCAGCCTAAATATCCATTAAAGAGTGACTGGTTTATTGCTGGTACATCCATACAATGGAATTCTACGCAGCGGTGAAAAGAACGGAAAGTTCTTGTATTTATTGCCATAGAAATCCCCATGATATAATTTTAAGTGGGAGAAAGTGAAGATGTAGAACTGACTGTTTGGAAGGTTGTTGTTGTTGTTGTTAAGTGCCTCCTTCGAGTCGGTTCCGACCCATAGCGACCCTGTTGGAAGGTAGCCTCTCCTTTATTTGTGTGTTACCTGCATAGAATATTTCTCGAAAGAGACACTAGAAACTTGCAGCATTGGTTGCCTCCGAGGAGAGGAGCTGGGAGGTGAAACATCAGGGGAAAAAGGAAGATTTTTTCCCTTTTTTTGGTAACTTTTGACTCTTGAACCGTGTGAAAGGTCTTTCTGTTAGAATAATTATAAAAATTTAGACATGTGGAAAGGACTGGGAACTAGAGACCTTGGGTATCCCTGCTGACTGGTGTGTGCGTGTGTGTTTGAGTGTGTGTGTGTGTGTATAAGTCTGCATGACCTCTGTATGTATGTGTGCATGTTTATATGCATGTATGTCTGCAGGTGTGTGTCTGTTCATGTATATGTGTCTAAGCAGGGGATCGTGTGTGCATGTGTGTGTTTTGGGGAGGAGAAGGATGCAGTTTATATTTGTTGTTGTTGTTTGTTAAGTGCCTTGGAGTCGGTTCCGACCCACAGCGACCAGCAGCCCTGAAAGAAGTTGGGATTCAGCAATGAGAAAAAACCCTATTAAGCAGAGTCAGTATAGCCAAGGACACGCTGACTCTATGCTGGGTCCAAGTACCTAGAGAAACACAGGCCACAGCAACTCCGGCCCTAAGACAGGTAGATGGGGCTGCCCACCCAGATAACAAACCGGGTTCCCCTTGTTTCATCAAAGAGAGGAGCAGCAGCAGGCCAGCGTTCTCCTATATGGTCCCTATTGCTCATAGCGAGACAAATCCGGCATGGAAAATGTAAACATTAATTGAACTAGCAAGAAATGAGAATAAAACACCCAAACTCTTTCCTTCCTAGTAAAGCTCATAATCAGACAGGAAGTATCCAGACCTTGCACCCCGAGATGCTGGGAGCTCTGAGCTCAGAGCCTGCAGGCTTGGGCCTCTAGGGGTCTCCATCGCTCTGGAAACCAGTGCCTCCCACCCAGCAGCCCTGATTCTAAAGCATGAAAGGGAAGTCTCAGGGAAGAGAAGAGAGTGGTGTGGGATGGTTCTGACCCTTCTAGGACACGCGGGCAGGCATTCAGAGTCCAAGTGTTCTCATTCTGCTTGAATCCCCATTACTAAATCCTGTTAGTGGCTGCTCAGTCTCTACTTGGACAGAGAGCTACAGGGAAGGACACTCTTTTGTTGAACGGCTCAATAGTGGATTTTGAAGTCCTTGTCTGGAGGAAACCTGCCTCCCTCCCTCTCCTTGACACTGGTTCTAGTTCTGCCCATAGAAACTACATGGGAAGGGACAACCCCTGGGTGTGGTGGTTAGGAACCCAGACATGAGAATGTGGACGGTGGTACTTATTAACTATGGATGAGTCCCTAAGTCAACATCAACATCAACTTCCTCATCCATAAAATGGGGATAGTAATCAAATCTACTTCACTGCATTATGTTGTTGTTATATGTGCCGTGGAGTTGGTTCTGACTCAGTGACCCTGTACAGGGTTTCTGAGGTTGTAAATCTTTATGGGAGCAGAAAGCCTCATCTTTCTCCCACGGAACAGTTGGTAATTTTGAACTGCTGTCCCTGAGGTTTGCAGCCCGATTCGTAACCACTACACATATAGTGAGGATTAATTGAGATAATAGCACAATGGCTCTGCACAAAGGAAATTATTCATTCACAGAACCTGTTATTTCTAGTCTCATCCCTCTTCCCAAGACTGTCCTGAGAGCTGGAGACAATAGCATCTTGGCCAAGAGATTTCAGTCTCCCAAGTTCCCATCTCAGGCCTTGTGTGAGGGAGCAGGGAGGTAGCCCTGTCTGTCATTCACCCCCCACACTCACCAGTGATGAGGTTGTCCACGAGGGTAGTAGGCATGCAGAAGATGCCCACCAGCAGGTCGCTGACAGCCAGGTTGAGGATGAACATGTTGGTGACGGTGCGCATGTGCCGGTTCTTGAGCACAATGAAGCAGACCAGGGCATTGCCCCCGAGGCAGAGGAGGAAGATGAGCACATAGGCCACAATGAACATGGCCGCCACTGGCAAGGAGTGCTGGTAGAAGGGGGAGAAAGTGAGGTTTGTGGCTGGGGTGGCCTCGCCGCTGCTTCCATTTTGACTTCCAGGCCAGCTGCTGTTGGGAGGTTGAGAGAGCTTCCCTAGGACCGAAAAAGCAATGGGTCAGGATGCCAGACAAAGAGGAGATGACTGGTGCTCCACCACTAATAAGACCCTTTCATGTACCAAACCCGGATCATGCCCTAACACCCTGGTCATGTGCCCAACTCCAGTTGCAAAATTTTCACCGCTGACCTCTTGTCTTAATTCTCTAGTGCAGCTATAACAGAAATCCCACAGACAGAAGAAATCTATTCTCTCATAATTTAAGAGGTTAGAAGTCCAAATTGAGGGCACCAGCTCTAGGTGAAGGCTTTCTCTCGTTGTTAACTTTGGGATAAAGTCCATCTCCTTTCAATATCCGTGGGCCCAGTGTACTTTGGAGATCTCCACGTGTCTTAGCATCAATGTCCCCCTGAGGCCTAGGAGGTTCTCAAATCAGGGACCCCAAGCCCAAAGTATGCACTCTGGTTCCAGTTCTTCTTTCTTGGTGGTATGGGGGTCCCTCCATCTCTGCTTGATTCTCTTTTTATCTCTTGAAATATAAAAGGTGATGCAGGACATCCCCTAACATCAGATCAGGGCCAACATGCATCCCCTAACATGCATCCCACCCTAGTTCCCTCATAACGAATGGCTAATCATATCAGATCACACCATAGGGAATGTGAATCATGGCCCATCCAAGTTGATACCTATTTGGGGGGGACACAATTCAATTTATGATACCACTCAGGCCATGATGTCATACCTCTCACCCCATCTTGTCTATTCCCCAAAGTGATTTAGTCACAGTTTGTTTTGCTGCCCCCATCTAACCTTCATCACTTTTCAGTCCTGCTCTGTGCCCCACAGAAGGCCCACATGATCTGAGGTCTCTTGTCCTCTGGTGCCTGCCTGGGTTTAGTCAATGCAAGGCAGTGAAGGAGAGTGAAGGGTGGAAGAAGAGAGAGGTGAGGGTATTTGCTTCCTGACTTACTCCTTGTTTGGCCTGGGTTTTGCCAATGACTGGTTTTCTCCATGTCCATATCTCCTGTTGGGTTGTCTCCCTTTCATGGTAGTTCCTGCCATTCCACCATAACACTCTTCTCTGTCCTCACCTCAATAAGCCTACAGGTGGTAAAGCTTCCTGTGGTTGCTATACTATTTCTTGCTGGTTCCTAATAGAAAAGTTTAATAGAAGAACTTTCTTCTATTAAACTCTCTTCAGTCAGACTCCTTCTGATTATGCCACCTGCTTTCTTCTGAGACCCTGACTATTCTGTCGCTCAAAATCTTTGGCATCCTCCCCACGGTCTCCTCCATAGAACTTCAGCTGGAAATAGCAAGAAGGCAGTAGAAACTGGAAAATGAAAGGGTAATCTGAGTCAGGGCTAAGGAGCAGACCCAACAAATGAAACCCATTGTCAATGCATGGATTCCAACTCACAGCCATCTGATGAGACTGAGTGGAACTGCCCTATAGAGGTTCCAAGGCTGTAAATCGTTACGGAAACCCACTACCACATCTTCCTCCAGAAGGAGCAGAAGTACACATGCAACTCACCCGAAGAATAACCAAGTGCAAGATGACCACCTATCCGTAACCTCCTCGTGTCCTGGTGATCAGGAGCCCTGGGGGTGTACTGGGTTACTCTTGGGGCTGCTAACTGCAAGGTCAGCACTTTGAATCTACCAGCCGTCCTGTAGGAGAAAGATAAGGCTTTCCGCTCCTGTGACGATTTACAGCCTGGGAAACCCTATGCAGGGTCGCTTTGAGTTAGAACCACCGTGGCCATCATCCTGGAGATCAGTTGCTTGATTTACATTGTGTTTTACAAAGCCTTTCCACACATATCCATCACCATCTGTCAGTTCATCATGCTGCGGTGGCTTGCATGTTGTTATAGTACTGGAAACTATGCCACCGGTATCTCAAATACCAGGTGGTTCACTCAGGGTGGGCAGATTCCAGACTAGAAAAAAAGGCCTGATAATCCACTTTCAAAAATTAGTCAATGAAAACCTTACAAAACACAAATGAATACTGTCCGGTAAGGTGCTAGAAGAGAGCTTGAAGACACTCCAAATACACAGTGTCTATAACAATGGACTGGAACATACCAGCGATCCTGAAGATGGGGCAGGACTAGGCAATGTTTCAGTCTGTTGTCCCTCAGGTTATACTTCAGGTTACTATGAGTCAGCGCTGACTTGGTGGCGACTGACAACAACAACAACAACAACAACACTCATACCTATTATATCATTTACCAACCCCCCAGTCACCCCACGAGGCAACTCCCATTTGAATCAGGAGAACTGGAATCAGAGAGGTTCAGTGACTTGCTCAAGGCCACACAGCGAGTATGCAGCAGAGTTGGCTCTCTCTGTGAGCAGGTCGAGGTGTTTCTGAGTCAGCCCCAGGCTGTGGTGTGTGTTTCTCAAGCCATGTTTGGAACAGAGCGGCTCAGTGTCCAACCTCAGCTCTTCTGGGATGTCATTAGATGTGGTGACTCACCATGTTGTCTCGTAAACTCTGCTCATACTGTCCTCTGGGACAGAATGTGGACCGTTCCGGGGGATGAAGTGTCTCTGGGGAGTCTTCTGTTGTATCCAGAGCTTAGCCACTGGTCTGCAGGCCTGCCGGAGACTGGGGACCTGGAGCCTAGACAGACCCTATGGGGATCTGGCACTGTGAGGGCTGTAGGGACCAGCAGGTACAGCAGCCAGGCTCTTCGGTCGGAGAGGAGTACCAGCCAGTAGAGGTGAAGAAGGAAGCCCAGGACATCCAGACATTGGAAGAAGAGGAAAGAACATCCCCTTGCTTAGGAACCCCCCCCCCCCCCAGGGCTTCAAATTGCATTTGAATTGAAGTACTTATTAATGAAGATCAAAGACTTCAGTACGGGTTGCGCCCCAATGTAAAGAAAACAAAAATCCTCACCACTGGAGCAATAAATAACATTATGATAAATGGAGAAAAGATGGAAGTTGTCAAAGATTTCACTTTACTTGGATCCAACTCTGCTGCATACTCGCTGTGTGGCCTTGAGCAAGTCACTGAACCTCTCTGATTCCAGTTCTCCTGATTCAAATGGGAGTTGGATCGTCGATCAACACTGCTGGAAGCAGCAGTCAACAAAATGACGTATTGCATTAGGAACATCTGCTGCAAAAGACCTCTTTAAAGTGTTAAAGAGCAAAGATTTGTGGACTAAGGTGTGGCTGACCCAAGCTATGGTATTTTCCATTGCCTTATTTGCATGTGAAAGCTGGACAATGAAAAAGAAAAACTGGAGAAAAATTGATGCATTTGAATTATAGGTTAGAGAAGAATATTGGAAGTACATTGTCATAGACTGCCTGAGGATGAACAAATCTCTTTTGGAAGAAGTAGGATTGATTACTCCTTAGAAGCAACCATGGAAGGACCAGTCTTTGAAGAAGGACATCATGTTTGGTCACGTGGAGGGTCAGTGTCAAAGAGGAAGACACCCAGTGAGATGGATCGACACAGTGGCAGCAATAATGGGCTCAAACATAACAACAGTTACGTTCATTGACAACCTGTGAGGATGGCACAGGACTGGGCAGTGTTTCATTGTGCTGTGCATAGCGTTGCTATGAGCCCAGGACAGACTCACAGCACTAACAGCAACAGATTCTAGGCAGCACGTAAGCACCAGTCTCCATCCCTAGCCCAGCCTCCAGCACTCTACAACAATACTTTCTCCAAGGGGAAAACCGCCTTCCTCTTCCTGGCACCTCACTTGGGCTGGAGGCATGCAGGCCACCTGGGCTCCATTCCAGCAACCAGAGAGACCTCATTAACACCTGGACTTGTCTTTTCTGGGATCTGCCCTTGTGAATATATCCTGTGACCATTTCATCCTTTAAACACAATGAAGTCATTCTCCTGCTCAGGGAGCTTGAGGAAGTCTCAGAGGGGAATCATGGTTGTCTCCAGGGCTCAGATATCAAACCCTGGACCACAGGAAGTCCAGAGCTTGAAAGTGGAGATGCAGTGGTTTACAGAGTGTGGTCCAAGACTAGCAGCATCTGCAACACCTTGGAACTTGCTAGAAAATGGAAATGCTCAGGCCTCGCCCCTCATCTACAGAATCAGAAATCTTGGGGGTGGGGTCCAGTAATCTGTTTTTTTTTTTTTTTT